CTAGCTTAAAGATAAGTTATAATTTAAAGGGTAGAAAGTTCTAAAGCAAACATTGAGATTCACATCCCATAATTGTGAGATGCCATGATGGAGCCATTTACTTGCGTACATCTACTATATCACTAAGCTCTCTAGGGTAAAAGGCCTCACAATCAATTGAGGTGTCCGATTGAAATTGAGTCACCCGATGTTGACCAAGTCAACAATTTTTTAAAGCTCTCATTCAATTCTTTTATATACTACACACTATGATTCCTAATTTTTAAGTCCTCACGATTAATTGAGGTCTTCAGTTTAGAACTTGGTCACCTGATTTTGACCGAGTCAATAATTTCTCAAGGAGCTCCCCCATTTAATTATTTTAATTCACCATATTCCGTAATTTTGAAGCTTTTTTATTTGATTGGGATATTTGATTTTGAATTTGGTTTACGTTTTGATCGGGCCAACGTATTTTTCAAATCAATCAACACCAACTGGCTAGAAAAATATATCAACCCCGTGCACCCTCTTACCATCTAGAAAAAAGAAGCGCCACCATGTGATGATACTATAGCACCAATATAGTAAATGTAGCCACCGACGCAGCAATTTACCCACAAAAGTATGAGTTGGTTAGCGCATAACATAGAATCACACCATGAAAGGCCCACAAATAACCGCATTATAAGTAAACATAAAAGACACACCATCATTTTCCCCATTCGCCAAACTAATATTTCATCAGTTCCAAAATACAAGGGGTACTAGTTCTTTCGAAAGTCAAATTTCTTTAACTTTGACCAAGTTTAGAGCCAAAAATATCGACATCCATAATATTAAGCCAAACAATTATGGAAATTCATTTCATGATGAATCTAATAACACTAATTTGATATTACGAATTTTGATACATCTCTTCATAAATTTGATCAAACTTAAAGAGGTTGGACTTTTCAAAAAAATAATACACCTTATATTTTAAAACAAAATGAGTATTTTTTTTTAAGAATCTCAACAATAACAACGGTGTAGCAAAGCACGTCCAACCCTTCTAGTAACAATTACTTGTTCTTGGCCAACATTACTGCTTTTGCTGTTTTAGGGTGAATATGTGAGTTTCTTATTGATACACCGGCTTTTAATCGTTGTCGGAAAGTTGAACACTGGAAGTACATCATAAAAGTTATGTAGTTTGTGATAATTCGTAGGTATCATTGTTTGCTGTCGCAGCAAGCGATTCCTTGTATGTCCCCTTTATTTCATTATATGTTGGTCTTTCCTGAACTTTTTTAGTAGAGTAGAACATAATCCCTGAAACAGCCCGAAGAGGTAGCACTATACTAAACTGCATGTGATATTTAATTCCTCACGAAGCATGTGGGATAATACTAATGATTTAGATTGCCTCTCATTGATGTTTGACTAGGTAACCCTTGTCTTAAAATATATACGTATCTGCCTACGTAACCATGTGAATCCACAAGCATGTCTGCATTTTTAGAGTTTCTTGCAAGATTTTCAACTGCAGTGAGATTATCTTACAGTATCCAGCGCAGCTACTTGCATGGCTTTCTGAGTATAGAAGGGAACGTACGTAACCTACTAGCCTAATTGCTAGTGCAGTTAAGGTTCAACGAACCAAATTTCAGCGCTAATTTAAGAGGAGGAACCCGTACAAATAGGGGGGGAGCCGGTCAAAACCTAAACCAAAAACGCAATTGTGGACGAAGATCAGGACATGCGAAATTCCAAGTGAGTCCTCTGTGGATCATGGCCAGCCAAAAGAATATCTGGAGACCGATCTATGGCTCAGCTCAAACCATGCAAGATTTTGAGGCAAGCTAGCTAGCTAGCCATGCATGTCTCCTAGTACTAGCAAGTAGCAAGTTGGTAATTTATTTTGGGTGTCCTTTTCTTGTACCAGGTCAACTTCCACACCGCCTCATTTGTCCCTGTAGGAACAGGAGATGGGAAAGGAAGCGATAGCAAGCATCTCGATTGTTCCCATCCTGTTGTCCACTTACGCTACTTGACAACCGTAGGACTGCACTTGCCGCACAGTACAAAAAGGTTAACTTTCTGTTAAGTTCCAGTCGTTGCCACGAAGATCCGGCCGCGGGAAGGGCTTTCCACGCGACGCAGACATGTTACTTTCTTGACTTAGACACTTAGACCCCGTTTGGAGCGCGGGAATTGCCTCCAGTTCCCTGTCATTCTGCCCACAAATCAACTGTTGCATATCTAAACTTTCCGGCACTGTGATCCGGAGGCAGACTCTATGCCATGCCACATGGATACTTTGGATAGACAGGGGAAAATATGGAAAAGCATGACGAAAGGAGGCTCTCCTTGTGAAGAAAACCGACGAAAATTACAGTGATCTGAACGCTCCATCACACGGTCAGTGATTCCAAGCTTTTGGAGGCTTCTGCCTTTTTTTTTTCCCCGCAAAAAAAAAGGCAGAAGCTTCTTCTCGGCGATGTCCCGGCAACGAGAGTGATGGATACTGACCGGTGCGGGCAACAAAGTCCCAAATGGTAGAGCCGTCTCTCCGCCAAACTGCCGGTGGCCACTCGACCGGGCCGGAGCCTCAGACCGGCCGGTAAAAAGTTAAAAGTTCCTTCACATCACCTCCTAATTTCTACCACGAGAGAAGAAGGTAGTAATAGTAAGCTCGAGCTTCCGCCTACCAAGAAGAATCTACACTCGTGGAAATACGTTGTCTCCGGTCAGTCTCGTCTCGCACGAATTCGCTAGAAGCCAAGAGCCAAACATCCCCTTCCTTAACGTTCGATCGCAACCGGCCGCGTGCGTCCAAGCCCATGGCCGTTGAACCGGTCCTCCGCCTCGAGCTAGCGGTTTTGAACCGGTCTAAAGACCTGCATGCGGAACTCATCACATCAACGTCGCGACTGACAGCCAGGAGAGGAAGAATTAGAGGAAGACAGCGACTCTAGGGCTGCATCCGGCCCCAACGACAAATAACCGAACAATCCGTCGTCCATGATCCATCCACATGCGCATGCACTTGCACTTGCTTGCGCGGTCGCGTCGTCGAACGACAGCGCCGCCCACGCGATCGGGCCTCCCTTCCCTTTGAACTGGTCACGGCGTGTTGCCGCGTGATCTGGTTTGATCGACGCGATATCTGGGAGGCCGGGAATTAGCTAGCGAGCGCCCGGACTTGGATCGTCGTCGCCGGGATCCCGGGGGCGACGGCGACGTGCCCGTTTCGATCCATTGCGTGTGGCGAGCGTGTTACGTGGTGCATGGGAGTATTATTGTCTCGCGGGTCTTTTTCTGCCCGCATGTCGTGGCGGTGAGCCGGCTGAAAACCAATCAAGGTGGGGAATGTTATGGCCGGTGATTGGCAGCGCGTCGCCGGTGCGTGGCCGGTGGGCGGGCGACGACGACGGGCATGGCACGACAGGTCTGTGGTCTGTGGAAGAGCGCTTCACTGCTAGCTACTCCCTCCGTTCCAAAATAGATGACCTAACTTTGTATTAAAGTTAGTATAAAGTTAAGTCATCCACTCCCCCGTCTTAAAATAAGTGTTTTGACTTTAGTATAAATTTGTATTGGAGCTAGTATAAAATTAAGACACTTATTTTACGACGGAGGGAGTATTTTGGAACGGAGGGAGTAACTACGTGAGTAACTACGTGTGTTCACAAGTGTGTACCGGTAATTCACTCCCACGGCGGCAAGCAAGTAGTAGTACAACTGCCATACGAGCTAGTAGCTCGAAGTGGAACCAGGACGCTTCTGGACCGATCCAGCTCCTCCTCGGCGTTCCATGCGGTCGCCGCTGTGGAATTCTTTCTGCCTCCGGCCGGGCGCGGAGTTTCCGAAGCGCGTACGACCACCGCCCCTGGGAAAACCGGTGACCAACCCGGACCGGCGGATAGGGCACGCCGTTTCGCTGTCCATGCACGGGACGTGGAAATTCCACTACTGATCCATCGCCATTGCTCCGTATAGCAGCCTAGCTACAGAGGAATAATTCCCCCGTGGCAATCGGGAGCGGTATACGGTATTACCTTTGTAGACAGGGTACCTTTCATCAGCGTCCCTTGAGAGGGACGGTCGCCCAGTCCTCCCTGCCACTATGTACATCTGTACAAGCTACTAGATGTAGATGTAGACTTGTGACTGTTCTGGCTTGGATGGATGGTGACGCCTACGTCTGTATCTCAGTGTCTGTACGTAGGTGTGGTACCAAGGCAACAGCCAACCACTAACTGATATACTCCAACCTACGAGTAGTATTATCATAACTTTAATAGTCTAATAGATATGATGAGAAGAAGAATGTGTACTGCTCTCTTCAGCTGCCAAAAAAATTGTAGGACTCTTGTCTCAGCGTATAACAACACTTAAAAAAATGTTAATCTAAAAAAGGCAGTCAAGGAGAAAGTTCTCTGCCGTTTTGCTCTTCTAACATGTGCTTTCTGAAACAGCTGGGTTCTCTCTCTCGAATTTCATAATGAAATTGGGGGCCCTTTGGGGCTCCTTTTCCTCTAAAAAAAGAGGAGTAATCGGGCATTCAGGAGGTAAAGCAGGATGCTGGAGTAGACAACATCATTGGCGACAGCAGCAGCATCAAATAAGAAAGAAAAGGGAACACCATTCAAGCTATACCTCAGAACATATGTTTCTCTTTCTTGTACAGAACAGATGTGTCTTCAAGGCATGACCACCATCAAGTCGGGGGGGGCAACGGGCAAGCAAACAACAAGGCAAACAGTAGATAGAAACAGCATATGGTTCCTTAATTTTCCATAATATACTAATAGGCACCGACGCCAAGCAAGTAGTCAGATCATCATTTACAGGAACACGGAGTCAGACACTATCATACAGCATTGGCTAGCACTACAGATGAAAAGAGTACCTAGGTTTCGAGATCATACAGCATTCAGAAGGTCGTCGCCAGTTAAGGGTGGTACTTCGAGGCTCGGATGTGATGATACCATGTCACGGGCACAAAAAGACAGTTGCATAAGTCATGCTTGCCCCTACTTTGGGAGGAAGGACGACATCGCCCGTCTGAATTCAAGAGATCCTAGAGCAGATTTTGGTAAAGGGCTGCCTCCAGGGAACCACAAATCACCTTTGCCAGGAAGCATAACCTGTGGGCTTATACTCTTGTCACCATCACTTGTCTCAGCAGGAAGAGCTTCATTCTTTTTCTTCACAAATTCGAAGAACTCCGCAACTTGACGAGCATATCTTCATGGGCAACATTGAAACATCAAACGGGTGCAGAGATTTGAAGGAAGTTAAGAGCACATGGGGTGTTCAGGACTTTGGTGATACATTATTAAAATAACATTGCAGGTTGCTATAAACTATCATTATGAGGAAATTCGATAAAATGCCAGTCTTAGTTTGTTCTTTGATTAAATGGCATGCCATGTGTCGCTGACAAGCGGGTCCTGGCGTGGAATTTTATAAAGGCCAAATTAAGACGTGGCATTTTATCTAATCTCCACAAATACATGCTACTGCCAATAGGAGTATATCGGGAATTACTACATAAATAATTCAAGAGACAAAATAACAAATACTGAAAGCATTGAAAATAGTGTATTGATCTACATGTTCCAAAATTGAACTCACTAATGTTGTTGGAATTGTTGCCAACTGAATCCAAATAGGAAAGGTTAAGCTGTGATGTGTAAACTGACCCAAAAGTACAATATTCAGTGATTTGTATGTGCTTTTTTACATGTTCAGTTTACTGTTTCTTTTTTACCTACTATGTGACACTAGTTCTGTACTGTATATCATGCCTGCTACATTGTTACAAGTGAATTATCTGAAGTCTAGGTCTGGTTAGATATGAACGGACAACA